CACAACAGGAACGAAACCACCCCCCCCGGCCTCGTGACCCCCTCCCACAGCTGAGACTACAGCAATAGTGAGTACCACTACAGTAGAAAAGACTAGCACAATTACTAGTCCTCCCATTACAACACCAGGGAGCACAGCTGCAGCCACCTCCAATATACTCGAGACATCCACATCTCCCGTAGAGTCCATGTCTCCAGCTGAGACAACAGCAATAACTAGTACCACTACAATTGGAGAGACATCGAGACTTCCCCTTCCTACAAATTCACAACCTGAAAGCACACCTGAAGGCACCTCTACCATAGGGGAAACATCCATCTCTCCTCTAGAGACAACTTCTGCAGCTGAAAGTACAGCCATAACTGGCACTACTACAATAGAGGGGATAACCTCAATTCCTCTTCCTGTGACTACACTACCTGGGAGCACAGCTATAGCCTCCTCTTCCATTCCAGAGACCTCAACAGCTCTGGAAGAGACCACTTTCCTGGCAGAGACTACAGCAATAATTAGTGCTACAACAATAGAGGGGACAACCACACTTCCCCTTTCTACAGCTTCACAGCCTGAAACCACAGCTGTAACCACCACGACTGTAGGAGAAACATCCACCTCTCCCCTTGAGATGACTTCTGCCCCTGAAACTACAGCAATAACTAGTAGAACTACAGTAGAAAAGATAACCACCGTTTCTCTTCCTACCACTACACTTCTTAGGACCACAGCGGCAGCCACCTCTACTATACTAGAGACATCCACTTCTCCTGTAGAGACCATGTCTCCAGCTGAGATGACAGCAATAACTAGTACCACTAAAGAGACAACCACACTTTCCCTTTCTACAGCTTCACATCCTGAAAGCACAGCTGTATCCACAAGAACCATCGGAGAAACATCCACCTCTCCTCTAGAGCCTGCTTCCCTATCTGAAACTACAGCAATGACTAGTAGCTCGACTGTAGAAGAGACAACCACACTTTCTCTTCCTACCAGTACACTTCTTAGGACCACAGCGTCAGCCACCTCTACTATTCCAGAGACCTCCACTGGTGCTCTGGAGACCTCTTCCCCAAATGAGACTACAGCAGTAACTGGTACCACTGCAGTAGGTGAGACAACCACAATTACTCTTCCTACTACTTCACTCCATGAGAGCACAGCTATAGCCACCTCTACGATACCAGAGACCTCCACCTTTCCCGTAGCGACCACTTCTGTCGCTAAGACTACAGCAATATCTAGTACCAGCAGAGCAGAAGAGACAACCACGGTTCTCTTTCCTACTGCTTCACTACCTGGGACGATGGCTTCAACCACTTCTGTTATTCAAAAGACCTCCACAGCTCTTCAAGAGACCATTTCCCTAGCTGAGACTACAGCAACAACTAATGCCACTACCCCTGAAGAGACAACCACAGTTGCCTTTCCTACCACTTCTCTTCCTGAAAGCACAACAGGAGCTTCTTCACTTATTCCAGAGACCTCCACAGCTCCTCGGG